GGAAACGACTCGATGGCACATAACAACAACAACAACAATGTCCCAACAGCAAGAAGTTATACTGCAATCTTGAAGACAGGTGGTTCGAGGCCACCAGCTTCTCTGCCGGAAAAGAATGGGCAGTCCTTTTCTCTAGAGCGATTAACTGCCTCTGAAAACCGTGTGTGTGTGTGTGTGTGTGTGTGTGTGTGTGTGTGTGTGTGTATTTAAAGGTATTTGAGATGAATAAGTCATCGAACATACAAATCTGATCATTCTATTTCCAGACTCATTTCTGTCACCAAGTCCTACTTTCCAATTACCCTTTTTCATAGTTTGCAACTTTTGCATTCCAATCACCAATGATCATTAAAGCATCTTGATTGCATTTCTGATCAATTTCAGACTGCAAAACTCGATAAATTTTTTTTCCTATAATGATAAAAATTTTTAATTTCCTTCTCTGGTTTTAGCTGTAGGATTTTATATTTTAATAAGATCTGAGAGGTGGACATTGATTAAAGATGACAGAAGAATAATTGATGCCTTTGAACTGTAGTGTGGGATAAGGTGCTGAAGAGCCTATAGACTGTTTTGGTTTTTGTTGTTGTTGTTATTTTTTAGCCCATGGACTGTTAAAAGAACGAACAGCTGTGTCTGGGAGGAGGGGCAGCCAGAGTGCTCTTTGGAGGCAAAGATGATGAAGCTTCTTCTTATACACTTTGGGGATGTTGCTACAAGTTATTGCTTTGAGATGGACATCATGCTTGGGAAGATGGAGAGGAAGGAAAACAGAAACAAAAAGACACTCAACCACATGGGTGGACATGGTGATTGTGGCAATGGCCTTGTGTGTGTCGGAGGTTGTGAGGATGGCACAAGATAGGACAGTGTTCAGATTGTTTGTTCATAGGATTGTTATATTTTGTCCTCACCAGTATCTAACAACAATAACTGCAGGGACTAGGGCATTCTGGTGGCTTAGTGGTAAAAAGCAACACTGCAGTCCCAAAGGTACACAGTTCAAATCCACCTTCTTTGTAATTTACTGCCTCTGAAAATCCACTGGAGGGTCAGCTATGTGTCCTCCAAATCAATGGCACACAACAATGTGGAGACAAAATTCCTTCGAAACTTAAAACCCTGCTTTACAAGGTAAATAATGAGTCTTAGAGACTCAAGCAATTTTACAAAGCTACATTTTAGAGGGGCTCTGGTGGCCTCGTGGCAAGGAGCTGCAACTACAATCTCAGAGGCGCACCGTTCAAATCCACCAGATCCTCTGCTGGGGAAGGAGGGACAATCTCCTCCTGTACCAGTCAGATCTGATTCGACGGCACACTCACACAAAAATAATAATTTTTTTTAAAAAAAGCTACATTTTACACAAGCATTGAGGACTCTCCTTCATAGGGTCACTATGAGTCACCTGTGACTCAACGGAACTTAACGACAATAACATCAAGATAGAGAGAGATCCCTTGACCCAGTGGACAGAAAGCGATGCTACCAAGCCAAAGGTGGGTGACTTTCAATCCACGACCCTCGGGCCTATCTTTCATTGTTTTTGTTCAAACATTCCTCTAGGTCCTATAGCCCTAGTGTGTCCACTTGCCATACAGCGGTGACTTGTGGTTGCTGTGAGGCTGAACACTGTGACACTGATGTGTAAAATGCGTTAATGGTTGGTCACCCAATGCGGACAGAGAGTGGGGTGGAGCTCCCTGATTAAAACAAGCTTGGAAGGAGGAGTGGCATCCACTTCAGTAATAGCTTGCCTCCAGAAACCCTATGAACCTGGAGAGAGGATGAAAGACACACAAACGTTGAGGACTCTCCTTCATAGGGTCGCTACGAGTCGCCTATGACTCAACGGCACTTAATGACTACAAAGACATACATTTGTCCTGAGTCTCAAGAGTTCCACTTTCCTCCAGCAGTATCACTCTAAGATCAAGCCTTGCCCTGTCTGTGCTCGCTTCCACAGCACATATACAAAAATTGGAATGATACAAAGAAGATTAGCATTGCCTCTCTGCAAAAAATGACATGCAAATTCATGAAGTCGTCCAAATATTAAAAACCAAAAAGCTTGGCCCTGTCTTGCACCACCTGATAAATTCCACGCTCAAGCCCATTGTTATAATCCATCTTGTTGAAGGTATTCCTCTCTTTCACTGACTCTCTACTTTTCCAAATGATATCTTTTCCAAGGACTAAACCCTATTGACAAAGTATATAAGATGAAATTTCACCATCTTAGCCTCTAAGGAGCATATTGGTTGCACTTCTTCCAAGACAGATGTTATTATTCTTTTGGCATTTGTCAAACATATTCTGTTCATCAACAATCTAAATGCATCGACTGTTTAGTCTACCTTATTCACTGTTTAACTTTCACACTCATATGAAGCAATTGGGAAATAATTACAGTTTGGATCAGATGTACCTTTGTCTTTAATCTGACATTCTTGTTCTTTAACACTTTGGAGAGATTCTTGAAAGCAGATTTCCCCAATACATCTTTTTTATTTCTTTACTGCTGCTACCATGTTCTTTGTCAGTAGGGAAAAGTTTATTTAAGCTAAGAGCACCCCGTTAGGGTTATAAAAATTTAGCAAAGATAATGGCAGAAAATTTGTTAAAGGCATGAAAGAGAAAAACTTTCTGGAGGAAGAACAGGCGTCCCTCATCATAGCATGAGGAGAAAAGTCTGCTGCTACCATGAGTTGATTGCGGTTGTTGTTGTTATGTGCCGTCAAGTCGTTTGCAACTCATCGCGACCCTATGCACAACAGCCCTAAACCCTGCTCTATCCTTCGCCAACTGCACTGCCTCTGACACACCCATTCCGATTACCCCGTCACAGAATCAATCCATCTCATAGAGGGTCTTCCCCTCCTGTGCTGTTCACCCCCAGCATGATGTCCCTCTCCAAGGACCCGTCCCTCCGAGCAACATGTCCAAAGTATATCAGACGATTGTAGATCCAAGTAAAATATAACAGCTGATCATCTCAAATCATGATGCCTGTTTTTCTAGTGGTGAGGAATTTTGTTTTCGTGAGGTTGAGATGTAATTCATATTGAAGGCTGTAGTCTTTGATCTTCTCCTGAAGGTGCTTCAGGTCTTTTTCATTTTCTGTAAATAAGGTGGTGTCATCTGCAAATTAAAGCTTATTGATGACTCTTCCCCCAAACATGTCACATTCTTCTTCAAATAGTCCAATTTCTCAAGTTATTAGCTGAGCATGCAGATTGAATTGGTATGATGAAAGGATACAACCTTGATGCACATTTTTCCGGATTTTAAACCATGCACTATCTCCTTGTTTTGTTGGAATGATTACTTTTTGGTCTATGTGCAGGTTTCTCAAGAGTACAACAAGTAAGTGTTCAGGAATTCTCATTCTTCTTAATGTTGTCCTGAATTCTATTAGTGTGGCAGATACCCCCAGCTGAGAACTTTAGAATAACGAGGCAAGTATATGCAGACAACACAACCAACTTCCGAAACAAACTACGGTATTTCAAAGGATGACCCCTCAAGAGGGACACAGGACCTAGGAACTAATCGACGCAAGTCAAGTTCCCATCCGGACTCCGTTTTTTCCTTCAGGAAGTGGCGTGTCTAACCCCATTCGCCGGAAGTGCCCTTTCAGAGGGTCTTTAGTCTCACGCTTTGGCCCACCATTGGCGAAGAAGTGCCGGCAGAAATTGATGGCAGAATGAGGACAACAATGCTTGGTAGGAAATAGGATCCGAAGGAACCGTGGGACGAGATTTCTTGAGGCTCTTTGAATTAATACTCAGCCCGTTTCGTGAATGTCGATTTTGTGGTTTGCGCTTGAAATTTTCTCCACCGAAATAGTGGAGATGCTGAGCGTTTTTACTTAATTTAGTGGATAAATTATAAAGTCTACCTGATTTTGTACTGTCTGTCTCTTAATACCACCAACACGATGAAGCTAATGAATAGGAAAAAAATACACGATTATGGTGTTTGGTTCACACGTTAATTATTTTGATTGCTTGTTACTATTTTGAGCTGTATTAATTCTAAGCCCCCAGAAGGGACAACAAAGGAGGGCAAAAGAACAGAAGCTATGAGCTTTATTTTTAAAGATTAGAAAACGAGCACCCAAGGAAGTAATCTGTCTAAAATCAACACAGATAGAGGCAGTCTTTGTAAAAACAAGATTCATCTGTTATGCCCGACTGAAAAACCCAAACCTACAGCCATCAAGTTGATTGCAAGTTTGAGCAATCCTGTAGGGCAGAGGAGGAGGAGGAGGAGTATTGTGATGGCTGTAAATCTGTGGAAACAAGCTACCTTATCTCAGCTATGGCGTGGCTAGTGGGTTCTAACTACTAACTTTGGTTAGCAGCTGAAAGCCTTAAGAGTTCAGAGAAGAACAGGGTGTATTAATGTGTTACTGATTCTTTGAAAACATTGGTTTACTTCAAAAAGAAACTGTTATATGGCAGAAATTTTCATGTGTTCCTATTTTTCAAATATGTAAAATGAGGAAATTAAATGACAACTTTTTTTGTACATAGCAACATACTTCAACCTTTTTATTTTTTTTTTTGTGTGTGTACTGTCAAATCGGATCTGACTGGTACAGGAGGAGATTGCCCGGCCTTCTCCAACATAGCATCTGGTGGATTCGAACTGTGTACTTCTGGAATTGCAGTGCAGCTTCAGCCTTTCTGCTAAGCTGTAAGAAGGTGTCAATCAGGGCTGCCTGGCATCTTCATGAGCAAGACTTTCATTAGGGTCCAATATGCTTCACTTCATCCAGAAATTTTCTCTAGCATCTTCAAAGGTTGGTTTATTTAGCAACTATTTGAACACAGTTTGTCAGGCATGGCTCTGGCTAGAGCAAGAGGGGTAGATAATACACAGATAAGTGAAGTAGTATGCCAAGTGGTAAGTGCCATGGAGAACTATAATGTAGAGAAGGGAAGTAGTGTCATGAGTAAGTTCTCTCTTCATAAAGAGAAATGAAGTCCTGACACCTGTTAGCAGACAGATGAACTTTGCAGACATTTTCTGCGTGAAATCGGTCACACAAGAATTTTATATATGTATAATTCCATTTATAGATTAGATAAATGGAGGGAGAGCAAAGTTTAAAAGGCTAAATTTATAGAGACCTGGTTAACAGGTGTGGAGGGAGTGAGAATGGTGAATCATTCCTTAGGAGCACTGAGCTTCTTTTAATGGTGATATAATAATTTGTCAATTATTAGTGGTGCTGGTTGTCCAACATAATAAATGCAATCAGTATTATTGAACTATACATATTAAAATGTTGGATTGGCAAATGTTTTGTTATATATTGTTACCATACCCAAAGAGGCACATAGGATGGGCTTCGGATTATATATACTTATAGGAAAGATGGTCAGAAACAAGTGGGCATGTAAGTAACAGAGGGAAGAGCATTTCAGACAAGGGAAAAGGGCCCTCAAAGACTAATTTCTAGTATGTTTAAAGAATTACCAAACGTCTTAAAAATTTCAATTTTCTTTCATGTATCACTTTTTAAAGCTAGTATTCTGTTTACCAGTTGAAGTTTGAAGTCTGCTTGCTAAAGTACAGGATTAGCAGGAAAAGTTACTACTTTGGCATGTACCATAAAAGGAAAAACACTTGGGATTGATTTAAAAGGCAAGCAGATGACTCTCAAATCTATACTGAGGCAGAGACAACATACAATTTTTCACTCTCGTAACAATTCTATCAGTGTACTTAGGATACTTATTACAGGCTTACTGAATCAGACTGTAGGGGCTAAGGAAAGCTTCAAGCTGAATTTTGAATAATAATAGAAAGTAAATTCAGAGATAGAAAGTAGTAGAAACTGGAATTGTAAGGCTTATACAAAGGGCAAGATTCTCCTAAGTATAACTGGCCTGCCTCCCAACTGTACTGTCCTTTTAAACTGATCAAAGCCTGTTCAAATCTACAGTGTCTGGTAGGAATACCCAGTATGCAAAATAAGAACAGGTTTACTTGTGTTTACTTATTCATGTATCATGAATAGTTTCACATATCTTTAAGTACATGTAAAACTGTTCACTGCAAGTTAATGGAAGCCAGCCAGTGCTTAGCTTAGCTTAATTGGTAATCCTTTCTTTTATGCAGTGTTTATAATGCTAAGTTAGAAGGTAGTTGGCTTTTCTTTACATAAAATAGCATTATTCCGGTTTAGTCTTTACCTCGTCCTTTTCAGCTGTTCATGGAATGACATTATAGGTAGGTTGAGTGTATCACTAGTTCTTCTCAGTTTCTTTTGTATGCTGTCATCTGGCTAATAGTTTTAGTAGTTGAACTTTTTCATAAAAGTTTGATGCTAATGGAAAACAGATCATTTGTTTTACATTATTTCACATTCGGGTGGAAGTAAAACTAAATTTTGTCTTTTGGTGCTTTTTTCTTTATAGATGCTGAAGTATGCAGTGGGATTAGGAGCCAGCAGGAAAGTTGATACATTTTTTCTCAAGGCCTCTCTCCAGCAGAACTTTTCCTCTTTGTTTCCAAGATGTTGGGTCTTGTCATCATCTCCAGTGTATATGAGCAAATATTATCATACTTCCCCAAGCCATTTTAAGAAGAAGCAAGCACAACTTCCAGCCAGGCCACCAAGCACCATCACTTACCTTTCTGATAGTCCAAAGCCTGCACTATACCTAACTCTGGCAGGACTGATCCCCTTTGTTGCTCCGCCACTAATCATGGTGATGACAAAGACTTATGTTCCCATGTTAGCATTTACTCAGATGGCTTATGGAGCCAGTGTCCTCGCTTTCCTGGGAGGGGTCAGATGGGGTTTTGCTCTGCCAGAAAGTAGTCCAGCCAAACCAGACTTCCTCAACTTAGCAAACAGTATAGCTCCTCTTCTGTTTTCATGGTTTGCATTTCTAATTTCTGAAAGGCTCCACGAAGCTATAGTCACAGTAATAATAGGTTTAGGGATAGCATTACATAGTGAATTTTTTCTCTTGCCACATTATCCCAATTGGTTCAAAGCCATAAGGATAGTAGTTACTTTAGTGGCCTTTTTTTCATTTGTAATCACTTTATTACTTGAAAGTATTTATCCAGAGAAAAGGTCTACAAGTCTGGTCAAATAGAATAAATATGAAACCACTTCTTAGGTGTCATTACCTTGTAAGGATTTGTTCTGGCATCACCTTTTTCTAGTTGTCTTTTCTTCCACAAATGGTAATTTATTCTTCACAGGTTGTTTTTCATTTCTATAAATAGTAATTTCATAGTAGTTTGAGCAAGATCTTAAAAATTCCTGACAAATACTGTTTGTGTCACATTAAGTTATAGTTCTTATTCTTTCTGAATTATAGTTATCTACTCAGGAATTTCAGTGTTAGAATTACATTGTATAGTGTAAAACTTTTTAAAATGTGAAAAACTTTCTTGCTAGACTTTTCTCCTTAAAACACAAATCTCTACCATGGTTTAAATTGTGCACTCCAGAATACATGTAAGTAATAGTAATGTGGAAGCTGTATAATGATCCCCCTGATCTGACAAACTAATTAGCTGTAACAAGATTAAGGATACAACACAACACTTGTTCATCCCATCTGAGAAAGAGAAAGCTAAGTTTCCTTAGAGTATGGCCTGTGAGATAAAAGGGGACGAAAGTGAGCAGAGAGGTAGAGCTTCAATACCACCAAGAAAGTGCCAGGTGTTAACAGCTGGGGGCTATAAGCGTGCTGTGTGAACAGAGCAGGCCCAGTGCCGCTGGAAGTGCGGGCCAGTGGCTACGGGAACAAACAACTTGCTGAAGCTGTGGACCTACTGTCGTCAGCACTTACAGCACTGAAGACCCTCCAGAAGGCTGTCTGCTTGCTCCTTGACAGCATAAAAGGCAAGACACACAGGTCTTCAGGGAATAAGAGGCCTGCATATGCTGAAGAAGATTCTAGAGCTCACTAAGGACCTTACCCTTAAGAAGTAACCAAGAGTTTAGAGTTTAGTCTCCTAAACTGTAAGAGAATAAATTTGTTAAAGTTATCCACTTGTGGTGTCCGTTGTAGCAGCACTAGGTAACTAAGATATTCTCCCTCCTAGTTCAGAGGATGGTGGTTTTACAATTTGCCTGTGGGAATTATATTTCCAAGCAATTTTAATGCAATTGTATTTTACCTGACGTAACTTAGATACAGGAACTGAAAAGATGTTTGGTCCGAAAATTAGTAAGAAGCAGTGTAATAAGGGGCAGAGGTCCCAACATTTTTTTATTTTTAATTTTTTTTTTAAATTTTTTTTTTTTTATTTTGTGTGCGTGTACCGTCAAATCAGATCTGACTGGTACAGGAGGATATTGCGCCTCCTTCTCCGGCAGAGCATCTGGTGGATTCGAACCGTGTTCCTCTGGGACCAACATTTTTTTAGATTTTAATAAAAATATTTGGAAAGTCTGCTGTCAGGGACCTCTCCAGAGTACTGAAGAGCAACAATGTCCGTATGGAGATGTAAGGTGCATCTGATCCAGGCCATAGTCTTCGCAATTACTTGCTGTGCATCAGAAAGCTCAATAATGACTAGACATAATACAAGGAGAACTGATGCCTTTGAGCTGTGGTACTGGAGAAGAGTATTGAACATATGATGGACTGCTAGGAGAACAAACAGGTACATCCTAGAGAGGGTCTGACATACTTTGGACATGTTGCAAAGAGGGACCAGTCCTTGGAGAGGAACATCATGCTTGGGAGGTGGAGGGACAGTGTGAGAGAGGAAGACCCTCAATGAGATGGATTAATGGGTAGGTGTGTCAGACGTTTAGGTTGGCACATGATAGAGCAGGGTTCAGAGCTGTTGTTGCTATGAGTCACAAGCGACTCAATGGCACATAATTGGGCCTGGTTAAGATGCACATATCCCTTATCACTAAACATGTAACATCAGCTGATCAAAAACACTTAAGAACTGCTTTTAAAAGTTCTAATTTGAAAACTTAATTCTAACAAGGGAAAACATTTTAAATTATTAACAAGCAGAAGAGAATGTATCACCTAGCATGCTATCTTTGCATAATAGTTAAGCTAAATTTTAAAAGTAAATTATATGCATATGGTATCCATTCAATTGAGTCTTGGTGTCAGTATCAGGGACTAGAGTGTAACCATAGAGTTAGGCCTACTTTTGATCATTATGAAGTTTAGCAGTTAACACCCATAGTTGAAACCACTACAGTCATCATCTTTTTTTCAATGTAAAGAAAAATTCTGCAACCTGAAAAAAGTAAGCTAATTTTTCCTCAAATTTGACTGGTTTGGATGAGGATGTTAATTTCTTTTGCTGTTGAGTCAAAACCAACTCATAGCTGACCTTCCAGTGGGTTGTAAGGAGGCTGTAAATCACACAGGAGGAGATTATCCATCTTTCTCCTGTAAAACAGCTAGTGGAGAATGTGAACCTCTAGAAAGGTGCCACTTTTGGGTTAGCAGCACAACTCTATGTGGACTATGCCACCAGAGCTCCCTTATGCTAAATTATAGTATATGAACAAGACCTCTTGTGGCCAACTGCTAAGAAGCTACACTCCTGAAGGCAAGCATTTGAATCCATCAGCTGCTTTGTGGGGGGGAAATATGGGTAATCTTTTGTGTGATTTAACTCTTTTACCTCTGAAAACCTGCTGGAGGGTCAGTTCTGACTCAGTGGTATACAGCAACAACCAACACAACTATATAAACAAGACTATCTTGGGAAAAGTGGCAACCAGGGTTCTCCTTAGAGGCAAGGATGGTGAAACTATCTCACTTGGATCATGCTGTCAGGAGAAGTTAGTCCTTGGAAAAGATACCAAGCTGGGAAAGGCAGTCAGAGAGGAAGACCCTAAATAAGATGGATTGACACAGTGACTATAATGGGCTCAAATATACCAGAGCTGGTGAGGATGGCCCAACATAGGACAAAGTTCAGATCTGTTCATAGGGTTGGTGTTAATGACAACAAAGAAATTTGCCAAGCTATTTGATTTCAAATATATTCTCAAATAGGTAAAATCACACAAAATTACAACCCAATTACAGCACATGCTTATGAAAACTAGTTTTTAGATACATTTGTATTTACCTGAAATTGATAGACTATTCCATCGAAAATTTTCAGGTATTTTAGAGGATGATCAATTGTAATAGTTGCTGAGAAAACAGTTAATGGCAAAATGAAACGTGCAAATCTCAAATGTTAGAAAAGACCTGGCAGCCTCACAACAGTTTGGTCTTGTAAGCATACTGCTAGTTCAGAATATACTTCTGAACTTATTTTTAAGTACATTTGATTTTAAGGGGAATTGACCTAATAATGCATATTGAATTATCAAATAATTTCAATAGCTGTTGAGAAAAAAAAAAGGTAAAATTAAAGTGCAAATTCCAAAAGTTAGAGCAAAACAAATTTTAACACCTGGAATTCTTATTACAATTTAGTAATTCAGGAACTCTTTTAATAGGTCAAGTTAATACAGCGAAAAAAAATGTAGACACTTTATCAGTACTTTCTTTTTAAAACAACTCACCATTTAGGAAATGATAAGCATATTTACAATTATCTATTTTCAGGAATCTTCTGCACTTCTTACATCTCTTGCTCTTTGAGAAGAATAAAGAAACTTACGCTCACCCTGTATTCTTCATTTTTGTGTTTTATCCTGAATCACCTCCATAATCTTGACATTTTCATATCACTCACATACTCACTCACTGCTGCTGAGTCAATTCCAACTCATAGCTGACCCACTCACTATCAAGTTTTTGAGGTGGTAAATCACATGAAGTGGACTGCCCGTCATGAGCAGCTGCTAGTCGACCCAAACTAGAGAAACTACTGCAGTACAACTTGCTACAGACTGCACTACCAGAGCTCCCTTTGCCATATTCTCACTTTTTAAATTCTTACTGCCATCAAGTAAAAACTGACTTCTAGCTGAACCCCCCCCAAGTATGTTTCTGGAGGTTATAAAGTGCATGAAAGGAGATTGCATATCTTTTTTTTTTAATTTTTTTATTATTTGTGTGTGTGTACCGTAGAACTGGATGACTGGTACAGGAGGAGATTGTCCCTCCTTCTCCAGCAGAGCATCTGGTGGATTCGAATCGCATGCCTCTGGGACTGCAGTGCAACTCCTTGCCACTAGACCACCAGAGCTCCCTGCATATCTTTTTATTGTGGCACTGCCAATGGATTCCAACAGCCAGAGAGGTAACACTTTTGAATTAGGAGCACAGCTCCCTATGGAATACACCACCACACCTCCCTATTTATTTCCGTGTAGCTGTGTAAGATACCTACACAGTGTCAATTAAACTGGTTCTAGCAATAATGAAAAATTGTAGGAACATTTTTCTAAATCTTTTAAATCTGAGTGCAGACTCTCATTTTTTTTTTAATTTAATGAAAGTTTACAAAGACTTAGGGTTTCCATTCATTCATTGTTGTACTTTTCTCCCTGCCTACCCCTCCTCCCAATCCACTCTTCTTGAAAAGTAAAACTCTTTCATTGTTATGCAATCCCTCCCCCTAAGTCCACTCCAGTGTGCAGCCTTCATTCTGGACTCCTGTCATGACAATAATACCTAATCATATATCCCTTTTAAACTGTT